AAAAAAAAAAAAGGGGGGGGGGAGGAGGGGGGGGAGGAGGAGGAGGAGGAGAAGAAGAAGAAGAAGAAGAAGAAAAAGAAACATGGAACAGACTAATGAATCTCAGAGGGAAGGAGGTGGGGCAAGAAGAGATTAACCAAAGAACTTATATGTATACATGCATTACCCACGCACACAGAAAATAAATAGGGTGGTGAAGGCCTGGGGTGGGGCAGGATTTGGGTGGAGAGGGTCAGTGGGGGGAAGAGGTGGGGAAGTTCTGTAATAATCTCAACAATAAATAGTTAAAAAAAACCCAGTTCTAATAAAGCATGGTCACTACTATGTATCATAAGCAGGTACAGAGGTATGATACAGTACTGCCCTACATCTATAATACTATAGATACAACTAAAATGACATTGTTTGATTCTATTTCCCAGAAGAGGCCCCCAAGGGTGGAAAGATATAGCTCTGGGAAGAAATGCATCTTCTCAGAAAGGATTTCCTTTGATTAGTGACACAGTGCTAGGTACTCACTGCTCTTCATGAATATCACTTAAAAATGGTTTTAGGTGATATTCATGCTATTCCACTTTTAATGGAGGGAGGTACAAAATGCATCAATGCAAAAGATTGTTTTATATAATCCTCAAAAAATACAAAGTTTCCTGCAACCTAAGATAATGGAAAGGTTCCTTAAGTTTTTACCTACCACCTTTATAAAAGTTCTAAATGGGGTGTGTGTGTGTGTGTGTGTGTGTGTGTGTGTGTGCAGGTGCATGCGCTTTGAAAATAATAGAGGGCCTTTTTTTGTCCACTTCTTAATGACAAAAAGGGGACAGTTCCAACGTGATCATTTTTCTTGGTCTGTGTAGTGGTGAGGAAATAGTACTGGACTTGTCTTGTTCATCCTTTATTAAAAATTCCCTGCCAACACTTTCCTGTTCATTCAACAAATCCTCCATCTCTTTTCTTGTTTGCTCAACATAATCATCTGGAGTTTCTTTGTCTCTCTTCATACACATTTCCCTGAAGACATTCCCAGGGTATTTACATAAACATAGTTTTTCATGATTAACAAATAATACTCAGCGGATGCCACATTTAAAACATTTTAAATTCCAAATAAGAGTAAATATTACTACAGGATACAGGTAATTCAAATTATGAAGACTATCTGATAGGTTAGTGTTAGATGAATCTTATACTATACTTATAAATACATACCTGTGCATGTCTATAATTAGTATAATTCTTATAAGTAAAATTGCTGGGTCAAAGGGGATACATTTTCACAAGGTGCTGGAACAAACTTGTCCCCAAGAAAATATGAATTTATAACACTACCAATAGTGTACAGAGAGTTTATTTCTTTACACCTTTGCTAGCCTTAGATATTACAAATAAAACAATCTTTGATGAATTTGTTAGGTAACAGATATTACCTCCTTATTTTTTTTAAATGTACAAATCACACATGCTTATAAATTTCGGATAAAATTTTTCCCATATTTTAAAATTGAATTGTTTATCTCATTGATTTCCAAGGATTACTTATGTTGAGAATATTAACTATTTACTTGTCATTTATATTTAAAATATTTTATCTAGTTTTTAACATGGCTCTAGTTGGAAAACATATGTTTTAAGTATATCTGTGATAGAGGTATCAATATTTATATATATTGATGCATAGATAGCATGCCTAGAGAGTCAGCCTTTATCTATGCTAAATTTGTATAAATGTTCCCCTATAATTTCTTGTAATACATTTTTGTTTCATTATTTCAATATCACCCAATCTGTAATGTGCCCTGTGGTGTATATTTTGTGGGTAGTGCTTCAAATTCCCCACGCCCCCCCAATGATAAATTAATTTTTCTAAACTCCATTTATTAAATAAATTGTCCTTTCTCCCCTGATTTAAAGCACTATTTTATTGCACACTGAATTCTTAACTATGTTAGTACTTGGCCATTTGTGGACATACATTCCTGATGCCATTGTTTGTTTTGACTCTGTGCCTCTATGGTGTTTTTATTATACCAGCTTTTAAAACATTTTATACATTATATTCAGTTCTTAATTTGACTTTGTTTTTTGGTTGGAGAGAACATACTGTTTTCAAACAATGTTATTTTCTAAAATGACTCAATTTGTCAAAACTATTTAATCTGGAGTTTTATTTCTAGGATATTGCAATAAAGTTGTTTGAATTGGCATTATACTCCTATTTTAAATAATTATTAATGACATTTGTATTCATCTCCATAACTATATTAGCAACAGTTATTTAGCCTTAAGAGTGTGTAATTGGTTTCAAGGTACTATCTTTCCCTAATAGATAACATATTCTATGTTCCAGAGGTCTTTGTTTTGATTCTCTTCCTAGTGGGTTAAAATAAGAGTTGAAATATTTTGTTTTCAAAAGGATTCATCAGTAATATACACAGGGACACATATGAGCATAAACTAACATAGGTATATGTATCTAAAGCTCTCTCTTTGTTGCTAATATACAAGTCTATATTTTAGCTGGGTATAGATTTGGGGAGAGATATAAAAATTTTTCTTTAAAAATATCTGCTATTGTCAGTCACTTTTTAGTATAATTTCTAATTTTGATTCATTATTTAGATGACTCTAGAATACTGTTTTATTTTATCCTGAGGCACTGTGTTTTGGTATTTGCTCTATTGCATATCTTAGATTATCATTTTGTTATTCTCATGTAAAATGACTACTTTGATGTATAACAAATTATTAGTTACTCCATTGTTTTTGACATTTTATGTTCCGGAGTATACAGCTAAGAGTTTCCTAATTTGTTTTTATATGTAGCATACACCTTTTTTTGCCTGTATGCTTATACTTTGTATTTGCAATTCAAATTTTTTTTCAAGAGAGTTTAGGTAGTTGGCATATTTTCAGTAAGATTTTCTGCAGCATGTAGAGCAACAATAGTGTGTGCACACTGCAGTTTCAAAAGGTTTTCTACAATTATGTCCTTGATTTTTTTCTTCTGTTTCAATGTTTTATTTTTTCTTGGAATATATAATTTGGTTATCCCTTAGATTAATACACATTATCACTGTATTCTTCATTATACTGTACTGATTTTAATTCTACTGAAATGCACATTTTCTCTCCTTATTCCTTAATTTCATTCAACCCAAGGCATATCCTTGAACTTTCTCTCTATTCTACATTCAATCACGCTCAGTTTTACTTCAGTTTGATGTCATATTATTTCATTTGTTTGTCTAATAGAGAGCATGCTTTCAGAAAATTTCTGATAATATGGAGTGATATGTTGTTATAACAGCAAGTCTTTTGCACCAGTCCCTTAAAATTTCCTATTTTTATTAATTTATAGCTACTAATCTATACTAATAAAGAGCTAATATGCTAATGATTGATACGCCATAACTGGTAATGACCAGGTCATTAGCATATTAGCTGGGGCAGAAGCGGGGAGGCTCCCGGAGGCGGGACCATCCCGTGCTGGGGAGGGCAGGGGTGAGAGCCCATAGCGCCCCCCTCACCAGTCCTTCACCACCCACCGCTGGCACTCTGAGCGCCCACCTGCCAGGGGAAGGAGCACAGCACAGCAGGCGGGAGGCTTCCACCTTCTCCTCTGGTGCCATGACGGGGCAGAGCACTCGCTTGCTCTGGAGATGGGGTGGGAGCAGGGAGGCACCAGAGAAAGCAGGACCAGCCTGAGGTGACTTTAGGGACTGTGGGGTGGGGCTTGAAACAGCCAGAGAAGGCCAGAGGGTTTGGGGGCTGGGCCAGGCGCGCTGCAGCTCTGCATGGACAGGTTCAGGTGTCAAGGCAGGGCTGCAGGTGGGTGGGCCGTGCGATTTGAATCGCATGCTGGGCTCCTAGTATTTTAATAAAAGCCCACTGTGTGTCATTAACATACCGAACTAGATGTGCTTAGATGTTTCTTATTAGATCTTAAACTGATATTCAAATGATGTGTACAACCATAAGCCTGATTTTGGAGGATTGTGGTAACTCAAGTAGCATCAACTCTACTGAATGGTAAAAGCAGCTCTTACTTCTTGTGCCAAGCTTCGGAAGGTAATCTTTTCCTCCTGAATAGCTTGAAGCATTATGTATGTATTTCCTCCTCTGTTAGAAACAGTGCATTTAAAACCTCAATCCCCTGCACTGCTCTGAAGTTGTTATTGTCTCTGTCCCTCTTAGATCTGACCCTATATCCCAATGCCCCACTGCACCTGCACCATAACTATGATAGCTGTTGCACATTATTGAAGTTGTTTATAAATAGAAGAAAAGCAGGAAGGATGAGTGTAAAAGAGAAGTGAGAAGAAGGGTGGGATATTCTCTTGAGTGTTACTAAAGAAATTTGATGTGAACAGTGATTAATATTCAAACTATTACTATTGCAAGATTGCATCTCTTTCTGTGGCATGGGGGTGAAGATGGTGTTCTCAGAAGAGAGAACATGCATCTAGGCCAATAGTTGGGACACACCATCATGGGCCTGGGGATTGCAAGCACATTGTGTGAATGGACTGTATACAGAAAAGAATGGGAGGAAATGTGGCTGAGAGGAGGTCAGGGGATTCCTCACTGTGAACCTGCTTGTGGAGTTTAACTTTATTTTAAAGGAAACATTAAAATGTTTAAAGCAGGTGTGTGACACAGTGGAAGAGAAAGATCTCTTTGGCAATAATTTGATTGGAGCAGGAGACCCTTGATGAAAAGAGCACATAGGAAGTAAGTGTAATCATCCAAGCAATAAAAA